GAAAAAAAAAAATAATAAAAGAAAAGAGAAAAAAACCAAAAAAGAACGAACGTAGGATCTTAGTGGGATAATTGGGGAAATGGTACTCACCATTCCGTTGTCCATCGTGGGGCCATACGGCGACTGGAATCCCGGCTTTTCTGTAACAGAAAGAAAAGGGACCGAACGTTGAAACAGAAGTCACTCCGCTGGAACAAAGTCTGTCGCTATAAACATTGAAACAAATAAAGTTACAACAGTTCCCGGTAACGAGGAACATAAAGCGGTGAGGTCCCCTTTTTAGTGCGTTATTTGTCACAGGAAGTTAGGAAAATGGAACTGTTGGAGTTCTCGAATTATGGACCGTTTTGGGCTGCGTGGCGTAATATAAATTTCAGCCGGTATTTCAGGTTCTTACTGTTCGTTTGTGTTACGCCTATAATAAATATTGCGATATAGCTCTATGAAATATAGAGCCCTCATTTCCGTATCGATTCCACGACCTCCTAAACGCAACAACTAAACGTAATCACCGTAATCCAATCTAACCACGATTTACCTAATTATTGTAAAACGTAATAGAAAAATAAGAATAAAATCTCATGTAATTTGACAGACGCCAACGTCGATTCTTCATAATACGAAACACTTTAATTCGACCTACAAAAAAACAACTACAACATCGCATTCAACATCACCCTCCAAAATCGCCACGATTCCACGTATTCAAACTTCCCAAGCACAAAACTAAAGACAGCAACATTCAGAAGCATCTCAATAACTTCCAAGGACCAAAGAAACCCGGTTTCTCGGAGGCAGCGGAATATCCTTCGCACAGTGGCAGCGGGAAAGAAAGAAGGCGCAGAGGGAGGCACAAGAAGATGCCCGACGTGCACGCACGGCGCACCGAGTCGATGCAAAATTAATGTCGGGCATAAATTCGCGGCGCGTCTTTATAAATCAAAACCGCGATCGCGGTAAGAATCCGCGACCGGCGCGTTTTCCGCGTTGCGGCTGCCACGCACGCGGAATAAACAACGAGATAAACATTACGCCGTGCGCTAGGCGCTGGGAGGCTTCATCCGTTATTAATGCCCACCCCCGTATACGTACGTGCACGCGAAAGTGAGCGGAGGAGAGAGAAAGAGAGAATCTACGTGGGCCCCGCGCGTCTTGCCAGCAATTTATGAGGATCGGCTGGATTTACTGGTTTCGAAAACCGCCGCGGAAGAATTCGGATTAACTTTAATTCGACGATATTTTATCACCCCGGACCGCCATTGTGTCCCACCCCCTCTCGCGCGCCGCTGGCCGCCCCACCCGCTCGATCGACAATGAATTTCTTCCCCCGCGGGCTGCCGGCTTCGTTCGGGTTTTCAATGAACGATCGCTTTCCGGGCTATTTATATTCATTTGTATGTACGTTCCACGCGTGTATCATTCGTGTGTCGTTCCTGACTCGATCGTGACGAGTGCATCGAATATTTATGCGAGCACGCCGGTTTTTCTTCTCTTTTTGGAAATTGCTGAATGAATTTTTCGGGCTTTAGGTAGTCTGGGGTTATTGGGGTGAAAGGTGCTCTGTTCTTTTTGTCGTTGATTGCGTATTTTCGGGGGTTTTAATTAGAGGAACTGTTCGAATGATTCGTTTTATGGGTGTTTTTAATGTGAATTGGAAGAGATTGACGTGTAAATGGTAAGTTAGCGTGTTGAAACGGATTTTATCTTCTCCCTTCGACGACCCTGTATGAATAATTTCATTCATATCATTCGTTATCGGTGAATGTGGATTTTATGCACCCGCAGGGCAGACAATTATCTGAAGCTCGTACAGTGAAATGTTCAATACAGTTTATCGAACTTCGTGTTACTAGGAAATAGGCGGAAGACTTCGTAAAATAAACAAATGTTTGTTCATTTTGCTTTGTGGATATCTATCGATGCAGGCCTATGAATATTCACTAACTATTGGGTTGAGCTAGTTTTGGATTTAGAAGTTTACTTCCTGTTGCGCAGTAAGGCTATGTCATTTAAGGGAATTGAAATTTTTACAAATTTGTCTATTATATAACAAGTAAATTAAGTAACAATACACAAGTATTATAATAATCACTAACCAATAGTTGTTACAATATAATTCACTACAATTACTTCAATCACAAAAGAACTATTCATTATCGCCTAACGAATCGATGACATTTGTCAAAACAAAAAATAGATCACAGTACCATTTTATTTCAATATTTAAAGTATTAACCCTCTGCTCCGGCATCTAAAATCGAAGACTACAAATGAATAATTTAATTATTCCACTAACGAGAGACTGACATGTTTCTTTTCCTTTTAGTATCCAAGACGTCGATACATAACTCAGTTCATTATGAAAAGAAATATTAGAAGCTTCAAACAGTCTGTTTCGCAAGGAACGAATAAAAAATCGTCGACCGCTGAGAGTTAATGCATTAACCAAAATCTGATATCCAATATCGAACTTCATAATTCTGTTGCACGGAAACTAAGTGGTAACTGAGAACCGTGTCTCGACAGCAAAGGGTTAATTGTCGCGATCGAAACACCCCGGCAACGCACGTGCCGGTTTCACCAAAGAAGCCGAACCGGAAAGTCCAACTGTCTGATAACCGCGAAAGGACCAGCGCTAGGAGTGGAGTATATCACATTACAGAGGACGGATATATCCGTGCGTGGACGATAGGGCGAGTGTCCGACTACGACACGATCGGCCGAGATAACTATGAATCCTAACAGTTTCGGCTTGCTCGTGACATGTTTGCCGAAGCGTGCAGCACCGAGTCTGCAATATCATGCATCAAAGGACAAGCTAAACCATGGTCCATCGTGTCATCCTCAGGGGCCGGTGCAAGCTAGCTCGACCGTTATGACGTAGTGTTGAGCACCGGGCAGCTTCGTGTCACGACTAGTTCGTCTTCCACGTTGGCTGCTGCCGGCGTCACCTCTATCGAGTACCCGGCCCGATGAAGAATTACCACGGATATGCGACTGTGACCCACGAGATTCCGGAGCTTGTTGGGTCTTGTCCGACTGTTTTCGAGGCCGGGTGTCCGCGATGTGTTCAAAGCGCTACTCGGCGGACGCTGACTGTGATAATCTCCCTTATATCCAGACAGAGGTTGCAACGGTGAAGACGTCATTAGGTGTAGCAATTAACGATGCATTAGACTTTTTGAGTTTTAGAATTACTCTTTTTGTTGTTTGTTCAATGGTGAGGAGACTTCATTCGTAAGTAACATAAAGTATAAAGTACTTATTCTACTGACAATTATTTTTTGTTCTGGATAATGGATGTGACTTTCGTAAGCAAAGCTTAACTTTCACTTAATCCAAGTATTCAATAGTTCAAAAAATCAAAAACCCAAAAATTTCAAAATTAAAAAAACCAGAATCCAGAAAACCAAGAATTAAAGAATTAAAAAAAGATTCAAGAATCAAATCCTCAATTTAATCCACAAAGGGTTGCTTTCATTCATTACACTTCTATCTCATTCATTACTCTCCTAAAGAACTGCGAAATGCAAACCGATGATACGATGCATACAGGTTTAACAGTCTCTCCGGTATACAAATGGAATTCGCCGCGGGTCAGTACAATCTGTTCGGTTTGTTCGGCCCCAACTAAATAAATCGATGGCACCTTTCGGTCCGTACAAGGTAACAGGACCGCAGAAAGGGCGTGATAATTTCAGGTAATTCTAATTCGATGGTGTCGCGCTGATATACGACGCCGTGCCGGGGGCTGACCACGAAATCGCGGTCGTGTCCTCGCGCGCTGAAAATCGCCGCACGGAGCGCGCGCCGCGCGGTTTTCGAGGTTGTGTCGCCGCGTTTCGCGAGCTGTAATGCCGAATTGATGCCGGCCGAAATCCGTGTAGATGGTATCGCGGCAACCAGCGGCCGGCTGTAGCGCGTAATTCGCTGCCAGTGGTCGATTCACCTCTTTCTCGACCCATATCCGATCGTTGCCGCGCGGAAAACGCTTCCCAGTTGAGCAAGAAGCTTTCTTTGTGCGTGCACATCGAACGATAAAGATGAGAAAGAGATAAAAACGATGGTAGCTGATTACGGTTTCATAAAACCTTTCTTTTTCTAATGAAGATAACTTTTCGGGCTCGGCATGCCAATTGTGACGTATTGCATTAGTTCTAACAATTTGAAATAGCTGAAAAATTAATTGATTTATTCTGCAGGAAATTTATATATTCTTAACACTATTTCTACCGTAAGTGTCGGGAGACACATTTTTAAATTTTAACTTGAAATTATTTTCCTAATCCAATCATTTTTCCTTGATTGAATTTTGAACATTTCGTATAGTTAATTTTGTAATCGTTATTGGAAAAATCTAAAAGTCAATTCCGAATATACGACAGATTTGGAAAATAATTGTAAGTTAAAATTTGAAAATTTCCATAGAAATAATGTTAAATAGAGTTGTAGAATTTCCCTCAAGTGGATTTTTCGTTCTGCTTATTTCGTTCGAGATACTGTGAATTATATTAAAATGTCGGTTAGAATGCAAGTACTACATCAGTTTACAATTGCTTCAGAATGAATCACTTTAACTGAATCTCATTTCTATTTTCTAAAAATCATCTTTCGCGAAACTCCATCTACAAAGTTCCCATATTATTAGAAAACCTACCAAACTGCAGCGCTAGTAATTACATATTCGGTCAAACACTTATTATACAATCGTAAAACCAAACCACCTCTCCCGGCCGTCGCGAACGCAACAATAACAAGCATTCAAGCGTCAATCGCGATTCAAATTGAGCCCGTAGGAACATAAAAAACCAAAAGATGGTCTCTCAGTCGCCTCGAAATTGACTATTCACCATTCCCCGACCGCCCAATTCCGTTCAATATCTCGGGCCGAGGATCAAGCTCTTTTTTTCCGCAGCGGACCGAAAGTTTCATCATCCGTATGTGGGTGAAGCGGCAGCGGGCGCGTCGACGGAACAAAAAAGGAAGGAGGGAAAAAGCGGAACGCCGAAAAAATATCTATATCTAACCGGAGCGTCGTTATTATTCTCAATGAATTTCGAAGCGGCCGCGCTGGATCCCCGAAATCAATCGGCGGAAAGGGGATTCCGCGAATCGATTAAACCGCGCCGACACCGTTTCG